CCCCCCCCCCCATTATTCCTAAACCACTACATTCCTAGTCAAGGCTTTTCTAGCTGGAGAGTAGAACTACTTCCTCCCTTGAATGTGTTCATCATTAGGAAAAGAAAAGAACTTGCAATAGTATCAAATTGCAAACCATAATGTAATCTGGGTGGGCAGTTTACCTGTTGACCTTGCGTTGTCTGAAACAGCTGGGCCACAGCAGCAAAAGCGTCAGAGCTGGGCAGCTGTGGTACAGTTGGGACAGAGTTTGTAGTGGCCAGTGGGGGTTCAGAAGAAACTTTAACCGGAGGTGGAGGTGAACCTAAAAAAGAAAAGGTCATTCATTAAGGCCTAAGAAAACTTTAACCTGCAAAATTTCCTTTTTTACATTCCATTAAGCTTCTTTACCAAAATAACATTCTGTTCAGTTTAACACATAGTAAAAATATAAATTGTGATCCCAGAGTCTATACTGGAACAAGTATTAGAAGAGCAGTATTTTCATTACAAATAATTACGGAAAGAAGACCATCCCTTCCTCAATGTCAACTCATTTCCTTTTCATGAAAAAAATTCCACCAATATAAACAGACGCCAAACATTTCATGTATGGAGAGAGCCATCCCATTTTCTAATTCATAGACACACTTGGCCTTACCTTCATTATTAGTGACACTTTCTGCTCCAGGGACAGCATTACTGCTTCCTGCTGCCATGTCCAAAAGAGGCTGGATAATTTCAATTTTGAACACTCCATTTTTTTGCCAAAGGTTCAGCACACGAACTATTTTACTCTGTTATGTGTGAGAAAACATGAATATACAATAAATATTTGCATAAATAATTTATTACACCTTACAAAAGAGAAAAAAAACCCACAAAAACCAAAACCCCCACAAAAGAACCCTAGGCCAATTTTTCCATACTAAGTCTGTGTTGCAAACAGGAAAGTGAAATCTGTTATCAGAATCATAGCCTGGTTAAACTACTCTGATCAGCCTTTCTTTACTAGTATAATCTACAGGAAGAAACAGAGAAGGAAAAAAGAGAACAGAAAAGTAATATAACCTACAGAATCAAAGGAAACAGGATTATTTAATAATAAAGAAATGTATCTGAAATTTTCATATTCTATTCATGGTTAAAAAGAAACCCCATCACTGACCAAAAAAAGTTAACAGAATTCAAGAATTTCTTTTGGATGATTATAACCATTACAATAGTTAAGAAGCTGGCCAGCAATGGACAGGTTAAGTTGTTTTGTGAACAGAAAATGTGAAGGAGACCCAGAGAAGATGTGGTATTTAGGGCATAACCCTATCTCCTACTGGAGGAACGATGCTCTCCTCTTGTGCACTTTCCCACAAGAGCACTCCTCCAGCACAGTGCCCATGACACTGAGATCCACATGCTGCTTTTACTGCACACCTCCACTCCTCATCCCTTGGAGCAAGCTCACCAGTACACTGCCCTCACCTCCTGGGGTCCAGGCGTGACGAAACGAGCTACAAGTGTGAGGAGTCAAAACTGCAGCCTGCCTGCTAATGAGCACCACTCGTGCATGCGCACCTCTGTACGCTGGATAAAGCCATCCATCCCTCTCTCCTCTGGAATAAGTATCCATCTGAGACGAACCCTGCCTTTCTCTACTACAGAATTTCCTTATCACTCAACTACAAGTAAATCTTTCCAACAATGTCTTCTTTAAAGCAAAATGGTGCTTTCATATTTCAACAATACAACATTCCTAAAGGACTTGACAAGAAAAAAGATATATATGAGAAAAAACCTGAGTTTTGTTTCAAGTTCGGAGATTACTATATGATTATCTTTCTAATATTCCAGTAGGTTTCGAATATCTAAAATACATTTAAATAGATTCAGATAAATATAAATAAAAACAATACATTTTAATCAAAAAGTTATTAACTCTACCTTATCTTCAGATGGACAAAGATATAAATATTGGAATGTGGCGGTTATGTTTTTAGAGAATCTTGGCCCAAAAACATCTTTATCAGTTCCAAACTGATGACGAGACTGTCGTACAATTGAGTCGATTACATATAACCCTGGAACCTTGTATTCTGGTTTACACTATAAAGATAAAGATATAAAGTCAATACAAGAAAAGCAAAATCACAACTTGATACCCACTTAAGGAACTGTACAGGAATGGTTCTTTCTTCTTAGAAACTACCTGAATGGTTAGCTGTCTCACTGGCCAGGTTGTCAAATTGCCCAGTCTATATGGAGCTGCCGCTCTCCCTCCTTCCCTCTCCCTTTTTGCCACTCTCTTGATACTTCAGACCTCCATGTTTCACTCTTTTGTGACCCCTCTACCTCCCACACCATTTCTGATCCCTCTACCTCCCACAACAATGTCCCAGTATCAACATTATCAATCCTTAAACCACTCCAATATAAATCCAACTCATCCTGCTCAAAAAAATAATTTTTACCTCTTAAAATGATGAAAAAGGTAATTTTAACAACATATCAATTTTATTCTGTTCAAGCACAGTACCAGAGAAACAAAAACTAAAAGGAAAGATCATTTTTGGCCTATAAAATGGAAAAGATAAAAATAATAGAGAAACAGACACCCACATTCATTCTAGTGGTATAATCTTTATGGAAGGTGATTTGCAATAGAAGCAAAGCCTCATTTAATCCAACAATTCTACATCTAGAAATATATCTTAAGAAAACCAATTACAATGCATCTATTTTTTCCACAGGCCAGCCACTGGAGTGAAACGTCCCACACAGGAAACCAGCTGAGTAGACGGTGGAGACAATCATGCAATAGAGCATGTTGCAAACGTTTATGATAAACCCAATGGGGAAAGCAGGTACCAATCAGTGTGGGTCCGCTTTCCCTTTTACTGGTGTACATGTACATAATAAAACAGGAGCAGACCCAAATGTAAATACCTGTGTATGGGTGGGTGGGGGGATGCAGGTAGTTTAAATTTCCCCCCATTTTACTTATTTGCACTTTGACTGCTTCTCTCTCAGCCATTATTCAAAGGCCATGGGCCAGAGCCATCTCCATACATGTCTGCACTACATGGCACAGCTCCAGGCTGGGGGGACGGGGGTGGGGAGGGCGACACAAAGATGCCTAAGCCTCCATCCTTGGTCCTCTGCTGAGACACACACGTGCTAATCACACGGTTGTAAAACACACTAGCACTGTAACTGAAAATGATTTAATTATGGGGGGAGCAGGGAAAAGCCGGGAAAACTTTATAAAGTGCTTTCATTTGAAATGCTTCCAGATGAGTTAAATGCTGACGGAGTAACAGGGCAAAGGGCAGGAGGCAGGAGGCTCGGGTGGAATCCTGCCAGTCAGAGCCCTGGGAGTTGCTGCTGAGGCCTCGCCTCCCTGCCTCCCTCGTGTTCCCACTCAGTCAACAGCACTGCTATGAAGTGGTTTTGTTTTCTTTAAAAACCCTCTAGAGATTAAAAAGAACCGGCAGCAACAACTTTTTTGTTAGTGGCTTTACAAGCATCCAAATTACAATTTACAAAGTAAATTACAAATTCTGAAAATAACTAAAATGAGGTAAGAATTAAATGGATAGTTACCTTTTTGATGAACTTTTCTACTATTTGAACTACATGCTTATAAAGCTGAAAAGAATTAAAAGAAAATTATTGTCCACTTTACATATTTCTGCATTTCCTGCAATGTAATAAGAAAATACTCAAAGCCTTAAAATCTGCATAATTTAAATAATTCTCAAGATACAAATACCATATATATGATTCCACTTATATGTGGAATCTAATAAACAACAACAAAAAGATAATACTGAATAAACCACCAGAAATAATCTAGTCAACAACTGAAAAAAAATCAGGAATTAACTAAAGTACAAATCCACAACCTCTACCCCCCAAATAGAAGGCCTTTTCCTTAGATTTTTTTAACCAATAAATCTTCATAAAGCAGTAATCAGGCAACTTTGAGAGGGCCGAGAACAATGGAATTAGAACTAAACTATGCAATTTCTAAAATGAGTCACTTATTTAGGTGTGATCTTGGGTAAGGAATTTAATTTCATGGAGCCTAAGTTTTTGTTTTTAAATAAAAATGAACCTAAGACTCACCTGATTTATAACATGAATGAAATGAAATAAAGAAATTCACATTGTTTAGCCTTACACACGCACAAAAGGCCACCAAGAGGGGCTGGGTGTGCTCATTAGCTTGACTGTTCACCATAAGTGTGTATGTATCAAATCATCATGTTTTACTATATATTATTAAATACATACAATTTTTATTTGTTAATTACACTTCAATAAAGATGGAAAAATATGCAAGGTAAATACTCATAACAACAAATAAGGGGAACCCCATTTTGAAACAGCACTACAGTGGGAACGCACCACACTCTATCATCACTGTGTACCTTTGCAAAAGCTGGTGGGTATTCCTTGGCTAAGGCCTGAGCAAATTCACAAGATTACTTCTCATGTTTAGTAACAGTTTCAAAATCTCAAAAACATTTTTCAAGTTAAATATGTTTATTTTACTCTTACCTTAATGGCTTTAATAGCAGCTTTTGTGATGAGAATCATTTTGGCTCGAGAGATGGGAGGTTTCATATCCATAAGTGAAAAGAGCTTAAAAAAATAAGCAAAAAAATTTATTTTTAAATAAAGGTAAAATTAGAGGCCAATTCACCAGTTCTACAAAGATATCTGCAATCCATTAAGTAAAAGAGTAACAAACTTTTGGAACTAAATTAAAAAAATCCGGCCAGTAAAGAAAAACCAAGAGCGCTCCTACAATGCCTGCACTGCCACTTAGGAAACACAATGGGGAAAGAGCACAGTAAACGTAGCAGAAAAAGGAGAAAAAGGTAAAAACATTTAAGAAAGTTACAAAACCCATAATAGAAAAAAATTATAAAACTCTACTGAAGAACTAAACAATGATTTAAATGGAAACAAACACACCATTTTCCTGAACTGAAAGTGGCAATAGTGTGATTCATATTCAATGTAATTTCAATCCACACCTCACAGAGATTTTGTGAGAGTTTAAGTACAACCCAGACATAATGAGAGCCCACAGGTTATAAAGATAAAATCCTGACATTAAGATGCTTATACCTAGCTTCTTAAATTGTTGTTTCTGTTTTGTTTAATCATAGGCACACACTGAGAACGTGGGATTTCTAAAAGGATATTTTGAAATAAGCATTATTAACCATATATGAATCAGATTTCCATTTCTTCCCAATTAATGTTACTAGTTCAAATATGAAACCCCCAAGATACAGACCGTGACTAGACCACTAGTAAGAAGCTAGCCTAAAGAACAAGTCTCGTTTCCCAGAGGAATAAAGAGCCCTACTTGGCAACATATCCTAAAATGTAGAATTTTTCCACAAATAATATTAAGATACAGAAAGGAGAAGAAACAAAGATACTAACACAGAAATTCATTTTTAAAAAAGCAACAGCTAAATAAATAAGGTCATGGTTCCTTATTACTTTATTTACCAACATAACAATTTTCCTTGAGAATGGTGACTAATTGAAAAACAATTAGAAAGGATAGTAATCTTTGCGATTACATAAATCAATACAAGACAAAAATTTAAAATAATCCAACTTAAATACAAATTCTAAAAATATAAAACAGAAAAAAATAAAAAATATATATCAATACTGCATGAAATATACAACATATATTTTTAAATTACAAATTTTATTAGGACAGTTGTTCATTACTGTTCTGTTTCTTTCTTTGTACCTTCAAGCAGCGAAAGGGGATGCAAAAAAATTTATATATGGATATTAAAGATGAGCAACAGTGAGAACTACTACTCTAGCCATTAAAAGCTTAAAGAATTATTTTATTTTTTGAATGTGTCTTTATTGAATTCTGAAACAGGGAGGGAGAGGGAGAGAGAGATAGAAACGTCACTGATGGGCCACCGCCCCTGGCTGGGGATAGAGCCCATAATCCAGGCATGTGCCCTAGACTGGGATCAAACCTCGGTCTCCTGGATCCTAGGTCAATGCTCAACCACTGAGCCCCTCCGGCCCAGCTTAGAGAATCGTTTTAATGAAGCCTAAGCCAGAGCTAATATAATACTCACTTAATGTCCCAAACAAGACTTCATCATTTCAGCGGTAAATTGCCATATTAAAAAAAAAACAGCAGCAGCCAACTGAGCTTACAAAACAGATCAATGTATCTTCTGATGAAATACCCCACACAGTCTATATATTTAAATTATCACAAATTGTTTTAAAAGTTAAAATACTGTCAATTATACCACAGAGCAGTATAACCATCCTTCAGGCAAAAGACCAGCAAGAGAACCTTCAGTGCTATCATCTGAGAGGCAGAGGAAGGGTGTCACTACCTCCATAAAGAAAAGACGACACGGGAAGAGGGGCAGCCAGCATCTCAGCGCCTGCTATGTACAAGGAAGAATTGAGTTTGGTGGTACGTTATTTTATTTAATTGTATGAACAACTAACACAGATGCTGCTACACCTGTTTTGGATGATGTCCAGAGAATGGTCTCAACTTAAATTTGTTGAAAGCTCACAATCCCTAAGAGCATACTCATACCCTTACACAATGTTGCTAACCAACTAAACATACACATGCAGAGACCACTGACTATGATGGGGAGTACAGATAAAATAATAAGCAGGCACCCATACCTGTCTATATAGTGTATTGATCCAGGGACAGTATAATGAAACATACTGACTTAATTTGGGATGCCTACTAAATGTCCAGGCAGAGACTGGAATGTGGATCTTGAACACAGAAGAGATATCGAGGCTAAAAACTGAAAGGTCACATAATTAAAGCCATGAGGACAGGTGAGAGGAACCTACAGTAAGAAGGGAGCCAGGAACAGATGCCTAGCCAGGGCACACATCAAAAATGCCAATGTGGCAAAGAGAAGGGGCTGCACGAACAAACACCAAGATTAATGCCAGAAATTAAAGGCATCTGCATGGTAAAATGCTGTGAGGTTAATTAGGATGCGAACCAAACCTTGTTCATTCAGTTTGACAATTAGGTGGCTGATATGATACCAGTTTTTGAGTGATTACAAAGCCCAACTGCCTAAGGAATAAGTGGCCGGAGAAAGCAGAAACGCAATACTGGACCGTTCTTCATTCATTCAACAACTATTTGATAGCTAGTAAGTGGCTTGGTGGTGTAAGCTCAGCATTTGACACGAAGAGGAGACAGTCATCTTTCAGAGCTTCACAGATAACCATCCTTAAAATGGCTCTTACTTGTTAGCATTGTAAGGCTTCCATCACATTTAAGTTTCTATTTAGAAGCTGTTTACTGTCCTTTACCAATGGTCTTTCTTAAATTTTAAAACTGTAAATTTGTATTTGATATAATTTATGAAGGAAAACACTATTGGGCAGATACAGAAGTTTCAAAACTGGAGGTTTAAAAAATTACCTTTTAAAAGCTCAATAAATGTTACTACAATTTCATTGACTTCTTCAAGGCACACACTCATCACACAGGTCCCCTCATTTAGATCAATGCCTTCATTAGATATAGCGATCCAGAGCTTATGCTGAAATTGACATACTTTATTATAGTAACTATGTAGATTGACACTACTTATTTGGATAGAAAAACTAATAGCTTTTATGGTGAGGTAGATATAATTCCACTTTACAGATGAGAACACTAAGGCACAGAAGTTCAAGAAACCGCTCAAAGTCATAAAGCTAATTAACAGTAAATCCAACCTGCAGCCTACCACTTCCCAAAGTTCGAATTCCTTCCAATAAGTACCTAACAATAAGGAAATTACTTAATATTCTAATAACATTAACACAAAATAGTGCAGATATTAAAAATTATAAAGATTATACAGCGAAGTACAAAAAATGTGTTTAGACCCAATGGAAAAGTAAAAAATACTAAAATATAATTGTAAGGGGGTAGACTCAAAGATTTTTTATAACAAAAAAAATAAGTGGCACGGAGGTAAAATGACCCAGAAAAAAGTTAGAGAAAATGCAATGAGTCCTTACCTGAATCTACAGCAAGGCTGCAATTTAATAATCATAAATAAAGAAGAGTTCATTGTCAAGGTCACCTATGTTGGTTGAGAAATCTCTCAGAAGTATACAACGCAGGGGTAATCTAAACTTTAGATTATGGTGACTGAATTTCTGAAAACAATAAATTTTTGTTAGAATAACGATCAGCAAACAGGCTCAATAATCAATTGCCTGGGGAATCCTGTTTCTGCCCCTCGCTAGCTATGAGAAACTATTTCTCCACCTGTAAAATGAGGATAGCAGTCCCTACTTACTTAAGGAAGTTTGAGAATTAACTCAAACAATACATACAAAAGCACCGAAAGCAGCACCTGCACAGAGTAAGTCTGCAATAGATGGCAGCTCGCTATTCTACCGCTACCCGTCCTTGTGCTGAAAGAGGAAGAAACCTGGCGATAACCCAGGGCAGTTTTTTACACTGTGGGTAGATATACACTGGATTATAAAAATGAGCTTAGTGGTTGTGACATAACGTTTAGCACCCAGCAAGGGTGGTACTGTTTGGTGAAACGTCTCCTCTGCTCCCTCACACTGCTGCTTCCATGTCACTTGGACTCTTCTGCCTGTCTCTCAGAAAGACCCTTGGATTACACTGGGCTCATCGAGATGAGGGATAACTAACCCATCTCCTTAACCTAATCACATCTGCAAAAACTCTTTTGCCATGTCAGACAAGACATATTCACAGGTTCTAGGATTCAGAATGTGGATGCCTGGGGGAAGGAGGCCGCACATTATTATTTTTTAAAAAACAGTGCTTCGTTCATTGTTAACTTACATCTATAATCAACTGAAAGCCTCAGACTGTTTTCACTGGAATCTCCATAACTGTATTTTTATTTTGGTTTCTGACTGTCTGGAAATAATTTTCTGCTACCTGATGTAGCAGCTATTCCAATCCACTTATATATTTAACGAGCCTACTTTATATGCCTTCCTCCCAATTCAATGGTTTTTTTAAAAATTAAAAAGAACAGGATCTACTTGTAGGCTGGCCATATCTGATTTCCTTGGACACTGCCAGTTAGCTAAAATTCACCTAACAACATACTCTCACCCTGCTTCTATTTTCCTAATTTATTCATGATGAAATCATGATAAATATGATTCTGAAATATTTGGTTTATAGTCTTCACTAGACAAAAAAACACTTTACAAAACAAAGAAGTTTAATTTGGTCTAATGTAAATTGTGAGTGAATCTGTTCTGGCTCCCAGTGAATAGAAATTTCTAGAAAGTCATAAAAGAAACTAACAACTGGCAGAGATAAAAGTTACTGGCATTGGCCCTGGCCAGTCTGGCTCAGTGATTAGAGTGCTGGCCTGCCAACTGAACAGTCCCAGCTCAATTCCAGCCAAGGGCTCGTGCCTCGGTTGTGGGCCTGATCCTGGCCCCAGGTTGGTGTGCGGGAGGCAACCAATCAACATGTCTCTCTCACATCGATGTTTCTCTCTCTCCCTCCCACTCTCTCTGAAAAGCAACAGAAAAATGTACTCAGGTAAGAAAAAAAAAGTTACTGGCATTGAACCTATGATTTCTGAAACTGAGCTGTCAAAGCAGTGAAAAGAATTAGAAGACTATATACTAGTCTAAGTAAATTTTTCAACCTTTTAAATCCCTCAAACAATACTTCCTTTCAGGATCTCTTTCAATACAATACTACGCCTACCCTTTTCCCCTAGACTTTAAAAAGAAACACACAGAGGGACAGTCCGGCTGGTGCTCAAATCTCCCCCAATAGACCCAGATATCAGAATGTTTAATTCTACAGTCTTTCCTCTTCTTTTGTTCATTTGACTCAATGTACCAGACATTCTGGCTTCAAATCAAGAGTTAAGTCCAACATAACTTTAATGTTTATTTAGTAACATATAAACATGTTATAAAAGTACACATTAGGTTTTTTTCAACAAAAGATAATTAGGGAAGAACTTTTAAAATCATTTTTGCCCTGCCCTAGCTGGTTTGGCTCAGTGGTCAGAGCGTCAGCCCTAGGATGGAAGGGTCCTGGGTTCGATTCCGTGTCCCCCCCTCCCCGTGAGTTGGGGCACATGCGGCAGGCAGCCAGTCTATCTGTCTCTCCCCCATCGATGTTTCTCCCTCCCTCCCCTCCCCAAAAGGCAATGGAAAAAACATCCTCAGTTGAGGGCAAAATAAATAAGATCACTTTCGCCCCGGCTGGCGTGGCTCAGTTGGCTGAGCATCGTCCCATGTACCAAAAGGTCACTGGTTTGATTCCCGGTCAGGGCACATGCTCAGATTGTGGGTTCGAGCCCCAGTAAGGGGTGTGCAGGAGGCAGCCGACGGATGCTTTTCTCTCTCTCTCTCTCTAAAATCAATAAGCACATATTTAAAAATAAATAAAACCATTTTCCTGCAAAGATGCTGTCCATCTAATTACAGCCTGAAGAAAACTCCATAAATACTTGCTGCTAGAACAATAAGGAATAGTTTACAGTCCCCTCTAACCTGGCATTTCATCTTGTGCTTTTGCTTACACTTTACCAAAGGTTTGTCTGAGCTAATGCTTTCTAACTGCTAGGAAATTAATGTGATGAGGGATGCAGGAGGGGCTAGGACCA